GAGGTCACTGGTTATCCTTACTAAATCTCACTCGACTAAACCTCTGATCTCGTAGGAACTGAGTAGATCCGTTGTGCTTCGTTCGCGCGGGAGTCCGTGTGAAAAAAGCAGAACGGAGAAGAGATCTTAAGGAGGAAACTGGTCGGCCCGGACCGGCTATAGGGCATCCGATCTCGAGTGAAACAAAGGCATGAGCCCCATGCCTTTGTCTTTTAAAATTTCTTCTCAATTTCTTCAAAATTTCTTCAAAATTTTGAATTTCAAATTAACGTGATGCCATGGGAGTTGTAAGTTGGACGGTGGAAGCGTTGCCGTCTGATGTCGGTTCCTCCTCGTGGTGGACGGTGGAAACGAGGGTTTTACCCTCGGCTAATCGCCGACAAAATAGGTGCTGGTTTTGGTAGTAATACACAGGGGTCGATATTATAGTCAAATTACAATGTCTCATGCCCCTCCTCCCAGCACCTTTCATGAATGAATAAAACACTACCTAACTGATAGTTTTTGACCATTTTTTTGCATGAAAATGAAAAGTTTCACATACGATCTTCTCACTGCCGCTCCTCCCAATTTGGTTTGGCAAGTAATCTTAACGAAAGAAAGTTAGCTCATTTGTGCGAGTACTGAAGCGTGAAACTAGAAACAATTAAAGTGAAAATTACTGGAAATTTCAACTAGATTCCTTCTCATTTTCTCGTTGAATCTTTGATTTAAAGTTCTGCAATTTTGGAGAAGCATCACGTTTCTTCGCAAACTTGCTCGAATATTCGATTTAAAATACAAGAATTTGCACATTTTCTGTATCTTATTAGTTTGGGTTTCTATGGTGTATTTTTATTTTAGAGTAAATGTGTGAAAATGCCACGCGAAAACAAAAGCGAAGACATCGATTACAGATGAAGAATTTAGATTTTTTCGGAGTTAGGTAATCCAAAATGACTTAGCGTTTGATTGAAGAGAATTCGAAAGAAATCGGAAAAACTGTGAAGAGTTACTTTTCTTCTGATCGTATCGATGACCTGTGAGCCAAAATTCATGTTTTGCTGACAAAGCGTATTGGAGACAATTAATCAATGCAAAAGTGATAGACCAAATAGTCCAGGCAAATAAGGAAAAGAGCCTGCAAAAATCCCGGGTAGCAATGTTTTCATCGATTCCTATGTAATTTTTGACGCTGAACCCGGATTTCAACTTTGCGCCATTAAATTCGGACCGGAAAGTTGCCAAATTTGGCAAAAATGGCCTAAAATCGGCCTTTTTTCCGGATTATGGCCTGTAACTTGCCAAAAATTGATCTGACGATAAAATTAGTTATTTTCAGAAATAAAGCTCGTTAAATTTCCTACAAATCAGTTTCTATACACTTTTTTGCTCAGGGCAAAATTAAGCGCGCTGGCGGGCTCCAAACTTTGAAAAATGAGCGAAAATTTGGTTTTTTGCGGGTTAAGGCCTGTGACTCGTCCAAAATTGATCTGACGACAATTTGGTTGTTTTAAAAAAAAGTTCGTTAAATTTCCCATAAAAAAGTTTCTATACAGTTTTTTGCTCAAGGCAAAACTAAAGCGCGCTGACGGGCACCGAACTTCGAAAAAAGAACGAAAATCGCGTTTTTTCGCGGTTTTTGCAAAAATCCCGGGTAGCAATGTTTTCATCGATTCCTATGTAATTTTTGACGCTGAACCCGGATTTCAACTTTGCGCCATTAAATTCGGACCGGAAAGTTGCCAAATTTGGCAAAAATGGCCTAAAATCGGCCTTTTTTCCGGATTATGGCCTGTAACTTGCCAAAAATTGATCTGACGATAAAATTAGTTATTTTCAGAAATGAAGCTCGTTAAATTTCCTACAAATCAGTTCCCATACATTTTTTTGCTCAGGGCAAAATCAAGCGCGCTGGCGGGCTCCGAACTTTAGAAAATGAGCGAAAATTGTGTTTTTCGCGGTTTTTGCCCGATGTCTCCTGTTTTAATCGTCCGACGAGTAATTTCTGGACAAATTAAGTGCAGATGATAAAATTTACACTTAGTGAAATGAATTGATGTAAATAATAAGGTTAACCCAACACATTACAGTATGCGCAATTTTCGCACATTTTACAAAGTTCGGAGCCCGCCAGCGCGCTTAATTTTGCCCTGAGCAAAAAAGTGTATAGGAACTGATTTATAGGAAATTTAACGAGCTTCATTTCTGAAAATAACTAATTTTATCGTCAGATCAATTTTTGGCAAGTTACAGGCCATAATCCGGAAAAAAGGCCGATTTTAGGCCATTTTTGCCAAATTTGGCAACTTTCCGGTCCGAATTTAATGGCGCAAAGTTAAAATTCGGATTCAGCGTCAAAAATTACATCGGAATCGATGAAAACATTGCTACCCGGGATTTTTGCAGGCTATAGCCCCTTTCATGGCTTATTTGCCTGGACTAAAAGTAGCACGGATTGAAATAAGTAGCAATTAAGTACATTGTAAAAATATTGCAATTCCACTGAGTGTTGTGTATGTTGCCTAGCTCCTATTTGAAGGGGTTCTATTTATTGAAACTTCTTGCAATAAAATTGGAATAAGTTGAAATTTTTCATTGCATTGCATATTGCGTATCTTTCTGACACGTGGAGCTCATTCTGTTGATTGTTTAAAATCGTTAGATATCGACTAAATGATGTAAAACTATTGCAATTTGATGGTAAAAAAATTACAATTTTATTGGAATCAAATTGCAATTTAATTTCAATATTATCGTTGCACTGTGCTACTTGGGAGATGTTATGACTATTCTTGAAGCAACGAGAGCGATTCGTACTTGGTATAGCCGACGAGATACTTCAGCAACACTTGCCAACGCTCTTTACTTGTACCTATCTCCAAATGCTTATTGTTCTATGCTTTGTTTTTTTTCATTAGATTGTAAACAAAGGCATTTAACTAATTGTAAAAATCTGCATTTTTTTAGTCCCAATTTGTATTTACTTTTATAATCTCGTCAAAAAAACAAAGTTGCACCGACTTGGCAGTGCAATGAAGCGTTATGCTCACAATAAATGGTTGTTCACACCTCCTATAGTCTGTTTCACGAAAACTGAGTTTTTTAGTCCCAATTTGTATTTACTTTTATAATCTCGTCAAAAAAACAAAGTTGCTCCGACTTGGCAGTGCAATGAAGCGTTATGCTCACAATAAATCGTTATGCTCACAATGAATGGTTGTTCACATCTCCTAAGTACATTTGAGGGACTTGGAGTACAAGGCACATAAGTGTAGTTTTTGAAAAAATTGAGATATTAATGATTTCATGTAAAACTAAGTCTTAATGCATATTCTGAGAAAAATTCGCTTCCTAACGCCAATTTTTAAGCATCAAAAAGTCAGTTTGAACTTTCTTTGCACCATAGGCTCCGTGTACTTTCGAAACTTCAAACATTTATTTCTCAAAATAGCAGGAAATGCACTTGCGCCTTGTCCTTCAAGCCCTTCATTCAAGGCGCGCAAATCTACGATGCATGTTGAGGATCAACGACAAAATCATGATGTTCCGTTCAAAAAAATTTTGAAATTCCATTAATATCTTTTAGCAAATCTTTAAGCCAACTTCGGTCGTTAACTTCCTTGGTAGATTTGCACGCCTTAAGTACCTCACTTTTTAATTTATCGGCAGAAAGACTCCTAAAACGCTACTTTCAAGTAGGTACTCAAATATTTGAACTTTGTTTGAGGAGACTATAATTATGCGAAACGCCTTCAAAATTTTGTTTATGCCACGAGGAAATCTGTTCAGCATTGGTAACCTTACGTTGTCTCTGTGCATCTATCATAATTCAATGCAGATAGTTGATGATGCCGTATTCTTACAGAGCTTATGTAACTTTAATGTATTTAATTTTAAGACATCGACTGTTAGTTTAATACTTTTATTGCATGTGGGGGGTACGAAACACCGTTAGCAACTGTTTAATTGCTTTTTAATTGGAGAAAATTGTATTTCTTTCAAAAAGAAAGAAGAAAAAGAAGATTAAAATTGTATGTAAAAGTTTTCTTTGGTGATTGATAGAGTTGTGAAAACAGAAATTTAGAATGAATGAGAAAAAAAGGATTTTATGAAATAAAAGAAATTCAAATTTACAATTTTGTTACTTTATTAGAATTGTTTTAGTGTCGCATGTCTTATTCTGTTTGTCAAGATACATTTCAAAGGCCTCTCTCCTTACATATTATTTATCTTCCGAGGAAATGAGAGCAAATCCTCCTCTAAAAAATTAACTTTAGAACTTTAAATTTGAAGAAAATGTCAACGATTTACAGTGATTTTCAAAAGACCACATCTGCTGTTTTTCAAAAGAATAAGTGATTTTCCGAACCCCTTATGGAGCAGATGGCTCCCGCCCAGGAGATCAATTCCATTATTTCTTTTCTCTTTCGTAAGTTAACATCAATATGCAGAGTTACATACTTGTTTGACATTGAAAAAGACACCTTACAATTAAAAATTCAACAAGAAAACATATATCGACGGTGAAACTACCAAACCACGTATCTCGGTTTGCGACGTCGCAGACTTCCTGTCATACTTTATTTTTTAAATGAAAAACTACTTAACATCCAGTCTTGAAAATTTCTGTGTTTTTTCCTCTTTGTGCGGAGAAAATTCCGTGAAAATTTCAAGGAATGATATTGATTTGGTCTACTTCAAAAAAATAAAATGTGAGCGTAGATTTTTAAACACCGCAAACGAGATACGTGGTTTGGTAGTTTCACCGTCGATATACAGCCGTCTACGGCATGAGCAAAATATTGAACAGCTGACTTTTTAATCATGGGCAAAACTGTATTAAGGATAGCCATTCATGCAGATTTAGAAACAAGCTGCAATTTTGTGTAGATAAAATTTGAGGGGATGTTGGTCTATCAGCGAAAAGAACACATCAAATTGAGGAGTATCAAGGGAAGAGGAGAAAGAAATTAAAAGCCATTCATGCAAGCCAAAATTTTTGAGTATGAATTGATTTAGGAATGATAGAATGATAAAATGGAATGGAGGTTTGTTTGAAGACCATCGATTTATAAGAAGAGGCTTTCCGACTCAATAATAAAAAATGGGCGTGTTAATGGTAAAAATAACTGTAAACACACTAGATAAAAAGGAACTTTAAAACACGTAAATCTACTAAACAAAGATCGTTTTGATTTAACTCATTTTCACGTAGGTTTTTTTCAGCAAAAATGCATCCAGATAAGGTCCTGCAAGAGATGGTTTCATTTATGTCTCCCTATTATCTCTCATTGTTCATTCTCAGTCGGTCATTTAAAAGGGTGAGGGAACTTTAGTTGCAATGAAACTACTTTTCGAAACTCACTTCAATGATGAAAAACTATTTTATTGATGCACTTGTGTCATAAAAAAATATTTTCAAAAATAAGTATACTTTCCATTTGCACGGACTATGGAATGTCTCTACTAAAGATAAAGAACTAGGTATATTGATCTAATGATTAGAATAAAAACTGAACAGAAATTACGGGACTTGTGATGCAAGTCTTGATTGGAGCGATATGATTTTATCAATTGTCTGAGTAAATATATCTTGCTGACTAAGAAAAACATTGGCGAATGAAAAATGAAAATACTGAGTGCTTACGTCAAAGCATATACGCTGACTTGACGCTGCGATTTAAAAATTAATACATCATGAGACTTTCACTAAAAGTTGACACAGTGTGCGTTTAACAGTGAGTATCAGAGATCATAAGATGTATCTATGTGATGTAAATGCATCTGTGTAAAAATTATAATCTCAGAGGCTCATTAACTTACACACTAAACAAAGGAAAATAATGTGCACATTGTGAGGTTGCCATGGCATGCATTAACCACAATTTGGTTTCCAAAACAATATGCTAAAAATTAATTAATGGTAGGAATAAAATATAATTTACTATAAGATCAGGAATCCAGCTGCTCAATTTTTCGAATACCTGTTCTTGTTCTTCCCCCATGTCTTTAGAAGACGTATTTGTGCTTCTCTTCTAATAACTATGACTGAACTACAGCTACGTTGTAGTAGACTGCCGACAAAATCCCTATTGACGCTTACATGGACGAAAATTTACAGACCTAATTTCACTGATGAGTATCTTAAGTTGCGTGATTATATGAGAATAAAATCTACCACAAATTAAAAAAGAAGAAGATAAAAAAGAAAAAAGTAGATCGATAAAAAAGAAAAAAGTACCTATAGAAAAAAATGATAACTCCAAAAATTGAAAAATAAAAATATAGAATCCTTGTAAAGCTCTATCTTTTGCTTCGATCTACCATAATTTGATTTTTGCCATCATAGCGTGTCTAAATTAAATGGACTGATGTTTCCATCAGACTCAATTTCCCTCGGTCCTATTCATAGTTATGAGATCAGAGACAAATTGAGATGTGCTCTGCCAGATTTGTGACAATGTGAGAGAGATCTTATGCAGGTATGGCGTTAGTAGTTGTGAAATACTCTCCCAAATTTTGGAAAGAGTGGCAGAAATCTCATGCAAGTAAGGCGCCAGTAGTTGTGAAGTTCTCTCCCAAATTTTGGAAAGGGTGGCGGAAATCTCATGCAAATAAGGCGCCAGTCGTTGTGAAATATCCTCCCAAGTTTTTAACAGAGCGACAGTGATTTCGTGCTGGTAGTAGACCAGTACATCAGGGGTGCAAAACCACCAAAACACCTGATGCAGCGCAATGATTGGCCAGAAAACAATCTGGAAAGGCACTTTGCGGATCTTGTGGCGAAACAGATGTTGGGCCAACAGCGCTCCTGGCCAGCCTCCTGCTAAGGCTAGGCCATGTAGCCAGATTTCAGGAATTCGGCCCATGTTGCTTCCGGCCACAAGCTTGTCATAACCGTACAGGACTATCGAAATCAGGCTTGCTGTCCCGTAGATGGCCAGCCACCACCACTGCCCAGCCTCAAGCCAGGCTTGAGTAGCACGGTAGGCTGGCAGAGCAAACACTGCTATTGGCACAAGAAGTGGCAGCGAACCCAGAATTATCCAACATGTATGACGTTTAGGCAAGGTGTCAGTGTGCATCATGGCATTGCTCATGTTTTGGCTATCGTCAGATTCATCTTGGCACTTTATCAAAATACTAGAATCCTTCTGGTTATGAATACTCAAATACTCCCTCAAATAGAGTGGAATATTTTCTCGAGAAATATATGCCATGATTCAATAATAAAAAGCAGATCCCTTGATGGAGTTTTCTTTTTTTCACTATTTTTACTTGTTCGCTATGTAATGAACAGAAAATATTGTTGGATGCGTGAAAATAATCGAAGCCTCTCCTCTGTAAAAGATAAAATTGACACAATATAAATGACTGCTCATGAAACTTATTCAGAAACAGTTATTTTTGGTGTTTAAATAATTAGGAATATACTTTGTGTAAAAATTTGGAGGGCTTAATACAGTTTATGTGCCTTCTGTTTTTCATAAATAGGGATACAAAGCATACCTTCTTTCAAATCTGCCTCAAATTACTAAACATCTTTCTTAATATTTATCTCTTTAGCTGTTCGTTGGCTGGCTGTCTGTTGCGTTGAGAAAAATGAATTTTATGGGTTCCTTGCAATTCCTTTTCGACACTACTTCTCAGCTGAATATTTTTCGCCAGTTTCCAATCTTATTCTGTTGGCGTTCAAGAAAAAAAGGGTTCTGTCACTGGAAAAGTAAGATTAGGACAAAATATTACTACAAATTTGGAAACAAACAATGTAAGTATTTAGACAAATGATGCTCAACTCTTTATCAGGATGCCAAAAACTTATTCAGACAAAATTCATCGGAAAACAGTGAAAATCTAGATTTTCAGCTCTTTCAAGGCAACATGAAAAGGCTCAGCTTTTTGCCAAAAAGGAGGTAAAATTATGACTGAAGAGTCAAAATATGAGGCGATTCTATCAAGAAATAGCAAAAATACCAATCAACTCCCATTTGGTCTCCAAACCAAGAGAATAATACTTTCAACAGCTGAATTGAAGCAGCATGACAATTGCTCAGAACACCTTAGAAGTTTAATTTGGGAAAATTTCAATATGGTGAAATGAAACATGAGTAAATTTTGTTTAAAATATATTTCAAAGAAATGGTACAAATATGTATAAAATTTGCTTAAAAATATATATAAACAGAAATATTACAAATATAGATACGAGAATTTCTGAACTATGAATAATGGTGTGAAAATTGAAACATTTTAGGAGCATCAGTTAATGGCGAAAGATTTTTTGACTTGAAAATTTTTTGTACATTGACCTATTTAATAGTAGGTATGAAATACAGGCAGCAACAGACCGTTCATATTAATATCATACCATAATTTTATCTCTCCTGTTCATGTCTTATTCTGTCTTAACAGTGATCATTGCCAAGAATGACGCAACTTGAGTTAAAATAAAACCTTTGAATGCTCACTTACAATAACAAACCATTTAAAATAAGTTGTCCCTATGATACACAAATATTTTTCCAAAACGCTGACCTCTTTCTTTGCAGGGACTGTGGAATGTCTAAACATAAAGATCAAGAATGATCAAATTAATTTTACGACTGATTAAAAGTACAGGAATTACAATGCAGATGTTGATAGGCATGAATTGAAAGGCTCAATATCTTAAAGGTCATTGCAAGACACAAAAAATGATTTGATGAGTTTGGAGAGTATGGCGAGTATGCGACTTGGCTCAAAAACCTATTTAATAACAACACAAGTTTTCTGTACACAAACAAACCAACAGAGATCAAAAATCAGAGATCAAAGAGGCTCTAAAAAGCAAAATCTTAGAGGCTAACTTAAAAATTAAACACAGAAAAATATTTTCTCAATGCGAGTTGCTCTGACAAGTGGCATGCGCTGATTGCCGTTTTGCTTAACGAATAGGACACAGAAAACCAATTGACAAGAGGAATGAAATATTATACATGATGAATTCTGAAATCTAACTTATCACTTTTCCTGGTGAATTTTATCGATTTTTCCCTCGATAATTTTAAAGATTTTTCTCATTCGTTTCTTCAGATTACTAGGGCTGAACAACACATTCCTCAGTGGGCTACCGACAGTAAGACTTAATAAAGGCTGAATGAGTGGAAATTCAACTGCACAAGATCTTTTACCGAATGTTCTACGTTCAGTAAGCATACAAGGATAAAATCTGTCTCAACTTAAAAACAAGGTTTATAAAAAAAGATTATAAAAAGTAAAAAGTAGAGGAGATAAAAAAAAAAATTATAAAATGCTTGTAAAAGACTGACAATTGATTGGATTTTGCACCATCTGAGGGTCCCAACATGAGTATGAATTAAATAAGAATAAAGTCTCTTGCTAACATTTACCGATACAAGGTCTAAGACAAATTTATACATAATATCTAACAATGAGATTTCAGAGAGACAGGAGACCAATGGTGGTAAAAAAAGTTTTCACATTCCTCATGATTTAATGGAGACTTCAAGCAGAGGGAATCAGATGGTGTGAAAAACGATCTCAAATTTTTCAAAGTGCGACAGATTTCATGCAGGTGAGAGGACAATGTGACATGGATTTCATGCAAGCAAGGAGCAGTTTTTCAGTCTCTAGTTTCTAATTACAGGTACGAAGTCAGAGAAAAATTGAGATATACTCTGCCAGATTTTTGACAAAAAGACAGAAATCTCATGGAGGTAAGGCGTTAGTAGTTGTGAAATACCCTGCCAGATTTTCGACAAAAAGACCGAAATCTCATGGAGGTAAGGCGTTAGTAGTTGTGAAATACCCTCCCAAATTTTTGACAGTATGGTAGAGATTTCACTTGCCACTCCTTCGAGTGGTTGAGAAGTACTCTCCCAAATATTTGACAGTGCAACAGAGATTTCATGCTCATAGTAAGCTAGTAAATCGGGGGTCAAGAACCACCACAGCACTTGATGGAGAGCAACAATGGCCCAAAACACCACCTGGAACGACCCTTTGCAGGTCTTGTGATGGAACAGATACTGGGCCACCAGCGCTCCAGGCCAGCCACCAACCAGAGCTAATCCCTGCAGCTTGACTTCCGATACACGCCACCCGTGACTTCGGGCTTGACTCTTATCATAGCCATACATTACAAACAACACCACACTCGCAATCACATAGATGGCAACCCACCACCATTGCCCGGCATCGCGCCAGGCCCGTGCAGCGCCACCAACCGGCAGAACACACGAAACCACCAGCACCAAAAGTGTCCAGATAAACCTTTGAAATGTACAAGTACTGTCTGGATTCATATTTATGACAATATAGCTATCTCTCCTCATAGTGAGTCAATGTGCTTATTTATAAAATTTAAAACAAATAAATAAAAATTATTCGCTTAAAATACAAACATGAATTAGTCTCCTTTTAACTTATGACACAGACTATTATCTCCGTAGAAGAAGGAGAATAAGATTCCTGTACCTCTTTGCCTCTTTAAATTTCGTTCTACAGCATACCTTGTCTCAAATTTGCTTCAATTTACAGCGCATCTTTTTTAGGTCCTGCTTTTTAGAGTGATGGTGGTTGGCTAAGCTGCAATATCTCACAAATGGGTGCCACGATTTTATTTATTGATGTTTTTTTTGTGTCACACAGTCCTTTGTGACGCTGTATCACAGCTGAACTTTTCTAGTCAGTCCCTGATCTTTGTCCTGTCAGGAATAAAATAAAAATGTTTAATCGTAATTTTAATACTCAGGTAGACACTGCATATTTGGCAGACTCAATTTCTCTCATTTTAAACTTCAGGTATAATCTTGGAGTCACAGAGAAATATGCTGCTAGACTCTGGACAGAGCAACAGAAATTTCATGCACAAAGGAGGATTGGTGTAGATCATAGAGTACTATAGAGTCGCAATGTTGTGGAGCACCAATGAAATCACTTTTAGAGGTTGTTTTGTCCTGTACTCCTGAGACTAGTGTGCAGCTACTGGCGATGCCGTATGCGTGGGGTCCCAGCACCGGTCTTCGCTCAGAAAAAAAAGGTATAAAATTTATTTCATTAACACAGGAGTGTTGTACATTTTTTGTTATGACTTCGGTGAACACAATTTGCCAGAAATAATGATTGATTAAAATGAATAAATCCCGAAAACCACTCGCAGCCCGCGATTCTTCTATAAGCCGCCATGTTAAAAAATGCCGAACGGTTCCCACTTTCCGGCGAACAAGGGGCTCAGAATGGCCCGTTCATGGATTGACTTCATCAGCCCTCCAATTCATTAAGATTTTATTGTACTAAATGGTGTAGATCCATCATAGCACTAAAAGTATTGCGACAATGGCCCGGAATACCATCTGGGTTTTGCAACAGAAGATATGCTGAGCCGATAGCGTTTAGGACCAGCTGCCCACCGGAGCAAAACCCTGCAGCCAGATTTCAGAAATCTGGCTTTTTTCAAGCAATGTAGGACTGCCACTGCCGAGCTTGTAGTCCCCAGCTTCAAGCCAGGCATGATAAGCTTTGAAATTAAGCAACACACAAACAGTACTATCAGCATCTGGTTAGATTAGTTAATAGCGTAGTTTAACTAGAGTATGAAACATTTTCTTGGTAAAAAAAGAGCGAAAAATCGTGGGAGTAAGTCGTCCACCACCACCTCTGGTGCATTGCGACGATGGTCCAGAATATCATCTGGAATTTCACCTTATAGATCTTGTGACGTAACAGATGCTGGGCAACCAGTGCTCCAGGCCAACCTCCCACGAATGCTAGGAAATGCAGCTCCTCCTCAGAGGTACGCCACCGGTGGTGTATGGCCTGGCGTTTATCCTGGTAATACCGATACATGGACAATACGCTCATAATTAGGTACACAACTAGGAACTTCCAGCGCTCATCTCCGTTGTGCCAGGCACAGACAGCACCAAAAACAGGCAGCACACACAGCCCTCCAAGTACGAGGAGCTTTAGATAGTCCAGAGACGAGAGAGTGTAAGTAGTGCGCTGAGTGCCTCGGCTGCTGCTAAATCTGCCCTGGTGAACTCTCCGATCATCAAGATCTCTTCGTCTGTAAGCATTGCCAGCTGGCATACCCCTTGAATACATGTGGTCTATTTTTTTCTCCTCTTTTTTTTCCTAGTTTTTGTTTATTTTTAAGAAAAGAGGCCTCGTAATCTCTGCTCTAAAAAGTTTGTCAGAGAATACTTACTCAAGACGAGTTACCTTTAATCAGACTAAGAATATATTCTTGATATGTGGCTGCAAGATGAAAGAATAAAAATATCTAGGGCTCCTAAACAGACCCTTTGGGAATTGTAGGGACTTTCTCACTGTTTTTACTTGTTCCCAACAGAGGGAACGGAGCGAATTATTGAATGTGTATAAATTAACAATGGCACTTCTTTAAAAGATAAAATTGACAGAACAAAAATAATTGCTCTAATTGCCTATGTATTGAAAGAGACAGTCATTTTCTGTAAGAAAATAATTTAAAGTATACTTTACATAGTAACTTGGAGGAGAATGAAATTTGTGTGCCTTCTACTTCCTCATGAATTATAGGATCTGAACCATATTTTCTTTTGAATTTACCTTGAATTACTCCGCATACTTTTTAATTTTTGTCTCTTTCACTAGTTGTTAGTTGAGTTGAGAAATCTGGTGAATTTTTTTGACTCCTTGCAACTCCTTTTCGATACTATGTCTCAGTTGAACAATTCTCATCGGGATCCAATCTAAGTCCTGTCGGCATCCAAGAAAAAAAATTTCAGTCATTGATAAAGATAAATCAAGATAAAAGGTCACTTCAGTTTCAGAGATCAAGGTTTTTCCGAAATTCACTCTACAATCTTGTTCAGGAAAGCCGATTCCATCAGGGAATAAAATCCTGATTGTCTCCAATCATCAAGTGAGCTAGAGGAGGCTCCAGGAGAGGCTCAGCTTTTCCGCAAAACGAAAGAAAAATTCTGTATGGAAAGCTGCTTAGACATCAGATGCCGAGCATGAAGCAATTCTATCAAATAACAGCAAAATACCAATTTACTGCCATGAGATCTTCAGGGCGATAAAACAGTTTTCAATTCAACAATTGAATTTTGACGCATGCCAGCCACTGCAAGGCTAAGGAAGAACGCTGTATCGGCCTTCAGACATTGCCAAATTTTTTTTTGGTGAAAAGAGAATTTTCAAGGAAACCTGTGAATATTTTTCCTCCAGTTTTTCAGGAAATTTTCTCATCCATCAGATCTGAATTTTCTGAAGATTTCAAGAAAAAATATTCTGAAGTCTCCTCATAAATAACCATCCTCTCAGAGGAAATTAGGTAAATCATGAATGTTTATACAGCGTTGTTTACCGGCACAGCAGTATGATTGAGAGAATCAGGCTCCTCTTCGGAATTTTAGACAGGAAAAGAAACTCCTTCAGCCACTGCAGATGGGACTACCTAATTTTCACTTCATTCGAAGAATTCTCGATTTCCACCCCAAAATTTTACTACCTGTTGATTTTTCTCAATTGATGGGGGAAATGAATGTTAAGATAATCAATTTTTCCTACAAGCTATGGGATGCAAAATTGATTACACACGGTCTTGAGGCTCCTACGGGTCTATGAGCTAAAAAAACTATAATCACCAGCAACAGAGACTTCCAGATCTAAGAGTCCATTGCTGCTGGCGTGAAATATAAATAGAAAGGCTCCTTAATAAAATTGAAAACTCACAAATAACTTCAAGTAACTGCTGCTTCATTTATTATGAAACAGCCTTTTTACAACTTACTTTTGGAAATTATTACTCCTGAAGAGGTATACCACTTCGAACTTTATTTTTTTAACAATATTAGTAAGATGCACGGCAAATAAGTTCCTTGGGCCCTATCAAGAAACGTTCTGTAGCAAACAAAATAATGCTTGATTAGTATTTTAAGACTCTAGCAAGCGTAGCATGTTTGACTAACTCATTTTAAGGGGCACGGAACATGACATATAATCTTGCAATCAAAACGTACTATGCAGTTTAATTTTTTGACGGTGAGGCAGAAATTTCATGCAGGTAGGAGGCCAGTATATCGTGGTCGTAGATAAACCACAACACCTGGTGCAGTGCGACGATGGCCCAAAATACCAATTGGAATGGCACTTTGCGATTCTTGTGGCGGAACAGATGCTGGGCCACTAGAGCGCCGGGCCAGCCGCCCACCAGGGCCAATCCTTGCAGCCAAACTTCGGGGATGCGCCACTCATTGTCTCGAGCCTGGCTCTTGTCATAACCGTACATGACTGCTACCACCAGACTCATAATTACATAAGGAACCAACCACCACCACTGTCCAGCTTCGAGCCAAGCATGAGTGATACCAATACCGGGCAATATGCATAGTGCCACCAGTATCGCAAGCTTCAGTGTCAACCACGGGAAGGAATCCATTGATGAGTGGGGAAAATATTAACAAATGTAATCCCTTATAAAAATTATAACTGTCAGAATAAAATTAGGACTGTCCTATCATACAAACATGGATCAGTCTACCTTAGACTATTATTCTATCAGTGTAATAACTAATGTGTAATACACAGTCTAATATTCTAGATTGAGACTTGAATCTTCACTTTCATAACATTGTACTGTCATTGGAGGGCGAATAGGGTCCTTGTCTTTCTTAGGCTGTTTTAAAAAATATTCCGTGGCATACCTTGTTTCAAATTTGCCTTGATTTATCGTGTATCTTATCTGTCATCCCTTTGATTGCTGGTTGTTGGTTAGGTTAGGAGAGATCTCTTGATTGAGCGATGGACTTTGTTTAGGATTCTTGCAGTCCTGTTTCACGCCGTGTTTCCCCTGGATATTTCTCGCAAGTTCCTTATCTTGGTCCTGTTGGCATTAGAGGAAAAATGTTTAGGTCCCATAACATTAATAAGTCTAAAAAAATATCTGAAAAAGATTTCAGACACCAAAATGACAGGAGATATGACTGTACAGGTTTCCTAAATTGGCATGGCTCCTAGACAGAGTTCTCTTATCGTAAAATGAGAGCAAAGTCAAATGTAGTGCAGATCAACGGTGGTAACATGTGAATGCATGATAACTTGTTAGGTGGTGCTGCTTCAGGATTAATCGTCCATTGACATTCGTCTTAACATACGATGAGCAAGCTTTTCATTTCTTCTTAGCCTTCAAGAGTGAGTGGTTCCGCAGCTACGGCTAACTTGCTCTTGATTTCATTACCATCTAAGAATGATCAAGGCTATGTTCAAGGACAACCAACAGAGAGATAAGAATGATATCACTGGGCGATAGATCGTTACTTAGATATTTTTGAAAAATTTGAATCGTAAATGACTTAGCGATTTAGACCTGGGTACTTACCACAGTCACTTTTTTGATAAACTTGGGGAGAATCAGAATGTTATTGAAGAGATGCCTGCGATAAGCAACAAGATCCTGGAGGCCTTAGTTTAGTTCAAGCGAATCGCAAAAAATAAAATCAAGGCTAAACATAATCGATTTAGGCAGAATCAAGGAAAGGCCTGATGATAGGAATGATCTTCCACTGAAGCAAAAATAAAAGTCACGGGGGTACACCACACCCGATGAAGAGATTAGACAAATTCAACAAGTGTTGTAGAACGGCACACGTTACGGAAACCTGGACTTCGAACTTAGATCTGATAAGTGAGTGATAACAAGAACAACAGGTCAAGGTCAAGCGATTGAGCGTTTTTGCAGGCAAAGACCCCCTACGAATGAGCAGGCGATCACAGAGCGGGAGTAGCTGGTGGAGCGTGCATGAAGCTCGCTCGGACTCCATGATTATACTCTGCTGCTCTCTCCTCTCCTCTACTCTTTGCACATCACATACCTAATGGCGCCAAGCACAAATTTCACTCTCGGAGAAAAATTAAACTGCTCAGCTCAGGGAATTGACCTTTTTGATCGGGATTAAATTTCTAAAAGAGTTCAAACCAAGTACTAACCAGGGTAATTCTCAAAATTCTTTGGCAAGACATTTTTCTGATATAATTTAAGGATTACCTAAGGAGGGAAAATCTTTAGCATATCTGGAGAAATCACAAGCTTGTGTGGGGGCCCCGCAGCGTTCTGAGGCATTGAAATCAAATTCTAAACGTACCTACTTACATTTTGAATTTTGATGGAAAGTAAGGGGGGGAGGGGCTTCATTTATATCTGAGCCATGGGGATGCCAGATGATGAGGGATGAGTTTGAGGATTTTTGCGCTCAGCAGAGATGTTTTCAGGAGCATTG